CTTATTTCTGGACGGTGTGTTCTGTTCATTCCACTGATCGATCCTGCCTAAAGCAGTCTTCATTACGGGGCCTTAGTAGTTAAATCTTGAAGTCGGGTAATGTCAACATTTGACTCTGTTCTTCAATATTGTGTTGGGCATTCTGGGCCTTTCCCTCTCCATATAAACTTCAGAATTACCTTGTTGCTACCCACAAAATAACTTGCTGGGATTTCAATTGAAATTACTTTGAATCAGCTTGGGAAGAACTAACAAATAAGATTCTCAATGAAAATGGTCTATTTAAATTCTTTAACTTTTTTCATTAGTTCTGTCATCTACCTCACATAGATTAGAGTTATACCTAAGTATTCCCTTTTATTAGTGTTAATGTGGTGTTTTGACTTTCAAATTTTTCATTGTTGGTATAGCAAACGATTTTTGTATATTAACCTTTGTTTGTTGGGTTGTGTTTTTTTGTAACCTGTACAATCTTACTATAATTTCAGGAGTTTTTAATGTTATTTCTTTAGGATTGTCTGTATAGACAAGATCTTTTAATGAAGACAAATTTTATTTCTTCCTTCCTTTTTTTGTCTTGTTGCATAGCTAGGAATTCCAGTACAGTATGGAATAGGACTGGTGACAGAGGACATCTTTGCTCAGTCTTAGAGGGAAGTATCTAGTTTCTTACCATTAAATGTTAACTTTGTTTTTGGTTAATGTTACTTTGTTGTGAAGGTTTCTGTACTTTCTTAGTTTGCCGAAAGTTTGAAAGTTTTTAGTCACGAATGGATGTGAGGCAGGGTCAAATGCCTTTTCTGCATCTATCAACATGATCAAAATGACTTTTCCTTAGCCTGTTGATGTGATTACATTGACATTCAAATGTTGATCAGCCCTGCATACCTGGAATAAATCCTGCTTGGTTGTGGTATATAGTTCTTTTTATACATTGTTAGCTTCAAATTGCTGTATTTTATTGAGAATTTTTGCATTTATGTTCATGAGACAATTGTCTGTGGTTTTCTTGTAATATCTTTGTCTGATTTTGTATTAGGGTAATGCTGGCCTCATAGAATGAGTTAGGAAGTACTCTGCTTCTATTTTCTGGAAGATTGTAGATAATTGGCGTAATTCCTTAAGTATTTGGTACAATTCACTAGTAAACCTATCTGGGTCTGATTCTTTTTAAGGAAGAAGGTAATTAATGATTCAATTTCTTTAATAGAAACAAGTCTGTTAAATTGTTTCTTATATGAATTTTGATAGATTGCACCTGTCAAAGAATCGGTCCATTTAATCTAAGTCATCAAATTTGTAGGCATCAAATTGTTCATGACAGTCCTTTATTACTTTTAAGCTCTGAATTAATCTTGATGCTTACATGTTTAGAAAAAAGAAAAACAAAAGGCTAAGTCTCTGAAAAGATGCCACAACAAAGTATCCTTTTCTAAATTCCCAAGAATATCTGTTTAGATGTTTTAGAAACTCTGTGAGGAAGTGGAAGGATAGCCATTATCAATTATTAACTGGCTTCACATCATAAAAAATATGGCTTTTCAGTCATTGAATTAGAGTTAAGGAATAACTTGTCCCGTGCAGGACAAGTTATTCTAGAAAAACCAGAGGAAAAGATACTTTGCACTAGGCTTGAGCATAAAAATCTGAGACACATCAGTACAAGAAGACCAAAGTACGAGGTAATTCATGATTAATAGTGTTAGTATCTAGGCGTAGGGAAGCTGGAAGACGGCGATTTTGTGACAATTTTAAAAAGTGAAACGGTGAGCCGTTTCCTGTGTAACCTCCCTCATCAAAATGGCTTCATAATTAACTTTTTCCTGTTGAATATGCTGGACTTCAGGTACAGAAACCCAGAATCATAACCCTTCGTTGATGACTCTCAGCATTGGTCCATAAATGGACTGCTTTTAGTTGTCCAATATAAGCATCCTGATTCCATCATCCCCCCGAAAGCTGGAACCTTGACCACAAGGTACCACTTTTCAGCCCATGCCCTGCCTCCTCTACGGGTATTGTTCTGAATTTTTTCATCACTATCCTTTCTTTTCGATGTAAACTCCATTTATGATTTGCAAATGTAAAGCTTTTCTGGTGAACACGTCGTGTATTTTGACTAGTGATGCTTACTATAGTTCTTACTCTGCTTTGAGACTGACACTTCTAGGACTTTATTTCTGCTTACTATACTTCCATTTTTACTACACACCATGGCTCATTAGTTTTGGTTACTGGATAATATCCCAATGTATGGATATATCACATTTTATTTGCCTGCTCTTCAGGGAGGACCTTGGGTTTCTGCTTTGGTAAGCAGTGCTATAAAAATTCTTGTGCACGTTCCCTGTTTGATCTATGTGCACGTTTTTGTAGGGTATACACTTAATAGGAGTGTGATTTCTGACCTACAGGAGATGTAAAATTTCAACTTTAAAAGGTTAATATCAAACTTTCTGATGAAACACTTTCCACTAACACCAGTAATGCCTAAGGTATCATGTGGAAATACTCCAACACTAGATATTGCCAGATTTTAAAACTGAATGGGCATGCAATGGCATCTCATTGTGGTCCTGATTTGCACTAACTTCTCCCACTTCGTAACTGGTCTTTTCACATTCTTTGAAGAAAGAAATGGTAAGGTCTTGGAAAATAAAAATTCCTTTTAATACACAGACACATCACAATGCTTTTATAGTTCATGTGTGGTGTTTTTAGAAGTCTTTCTCTATCCTAAGGTGTAATAGGTAGTCATTTTTCTTTCAGAATTTTAAAGTTTTGGTTTACATTGAAGTCCTTAACGTTTTTCTTACGGCATGAGATAGGGATTTTATTGTTCACAGATAACCAATTGTTTCAGCTGTCTTCTATTGAAGTCCCCTTTCCTCAATGTAATGTGTGACCTCAGTTCATGTGTGGGTCTTTTTCTGACTAGTCTACTCCACTGGGAAATCTGTCTATCCCTTAGCTAATAACATGCCATTTTAATGAACAAATTTTCACAATGAGCCCCAACATTTGGCAAATCTCCACCTCTGACCTTTTCGGAAATGTCCCAGCCCTTGGCTGTCTTTCACCTTTTACTTTACAATCACCAGAAGAAGTTCCATGAAAAATCCTGGTTGTTTTGAATCTACAGGTTTACTTAGGGACAAATGACATCTTTATAATATTGTCTTCCTAACTATGAATTTATCTATTTATTGAGAACTTCTTCATTACCTCTTAATAATGTTTTAAAATTTGTTCTTGAAGAGGGCTTCAATGGATATTGTCCATCTCCCAGGCAACTGGTATTCTGATACTATTGTTAAATCATACCTTCTGGCTTTCTAGTTACTTGCGTAAAGAAATGCTTCTGACTTCTGAAAACTAATGTTATACCGCTACCTAACGAAACCCTGTTATTTCTAGGAATTTCACTGTAGATTTGAGTTTTCTATAAAAACAAAAGTATAATGTGCAAATTAGTACTTCTTCCTCCTTTCTTCTAATGATTGTCTTGCCTTGCTCCACTGGTTAAAACTTCCAACACAATTTTAAATACAAATTGTAACAGTGGAGAGTCGTCTTTGTTTCTGACTTTAGAAGGCAATTAATTGCCTCTTTTTGATTGAAGTTTGGGTTGTTTGTTTGATTGTTTTTATACAGAAACTATCAGCTTACTGGCTGGGTGCAGTGGCTCACACATTTATTCCCAACAATTTGGGAGGTCGAGGTGGGAGGATCACTTGAACCCAGGAGTTCAAGACCAGTCTGGCTCACAAAGCGAGACCCTGTATCTACAAAAGATTTTTAAAAATTAGCTGGGCATAGTGGCACATGCCTGTAGTCACAGCTACTTGGGGGGTTGAGGCAGGAGGATCCCTTGAGCCCAGGAGTTCATGGCTGCGGCGAGCCATGATTGCGCCACTGTACACCAACCTGGGCAACAGTGAAACCCTGATTCAAAATTAAAAAAAAAAGTACCATCAGCTTAAAAAAATGTTTCTAATTCTAATGCATCAAGAATTTTTAAAAATCATAAAAGGGTGTTAAATTCTATCGAACACTATCTGAATCTATTAAGATAGTCATAATGGTTTACTTTTTAATCTGTTTTATTGTAATCAGTTAAATCCACAGATTTTAACACATTAGTCACTGGCAAATTTTTCACTTTCCTAATACTGAGAATGAGTGGCTGAAAATAAAAAAATCTGAAGCTGGTTGCTGCAAACTTCTGTTGTTAAAGCACAAGAGACACGGTCTTTTCTAAATTGTCACCTTTCTCACAATACAGTTGAAAACTGCAGACATATCCACCATTTGCCTCACACACCACTCTGACTAGCCTTCCATACTCTGTACTTTAATTCAGATTATACACCTGTCTTCCATGACGAAGTAAATTCATGTCAGCGGCAACCAGGAACAGAACTTGGAATGATATAAATTTATGTCAGCAGTCCCGAATGAGTTAGTACTGAACCATCAAATAGAACATGTAAAATAATGAGCAACCAATTTTTAAACCTAGAAATTTATATTGTAAAATACTGCCTTCATCTATTTTATATAATATTTCATGTTTGGAAAGGGTTGGCTGCCAGACAAATTTGAAAACCACAGGGCAAAGTGGTCTCTTGAGAGTTTTTCTACTCCAAAATCATCCAGCTGCCTTGATATCTGAATTATGTTCTTTTAATTTCTCCTATCAGACCAGAAAAAACTTCTATTAGACATTAGTTTGGTGTGAGAGAGTACAGAAAAGAGAATCAGACAAAGGCTAGAAAATACAACATTTAAGTAACATGAAGGTTCTTGGCTTTGAAAATCTGCTGAGGTCTTCAACTCAAGGAATATAAAATTATGATTTAGCATCATAAAATCAGTCATACACAGATATGAGACAAACAGTAGTTCTCTTACAAAACTGGGAAAGTAGAAAGCTGAAAGACCAAAACCTAAAATTAGCTACCCAAAAGAATAAGAGAAAAAATAATACAGGGAGAGAGTATTCTGGTTTTCCTTTTTATTTAATCAAAGACTGGTGAATAAACATAAATACAGCACAATTATTTCAGATCATTCTTCATATTGTTTACACACAGACCAATGAACGTAATCTGAAAGAAACCTGCAGTCAGCGATGAAATGCACACACAGTTTTTTCTTCCCTCGCTCAAAAAATTGTTTAAACACACAAAACTTAGAATCTCATCAGCATACACTCTCCTGTGACAAATGATTCAGACATAAATAGTGGGTGCAAAGAAACTATATGCTAACATATGAATAACCTTTGTTAATGAAAAACAGAAGCAGCCATAATGATTAAGATACATTCAGTTACTGATAACTAGTGGTGCCCTCGTGGGCATTATCAAAAGAGAAATCGTGCTGCAGAGAAAAGCTATATATACATACACAATGAGAAAATAAACTGCAGATTAACGCATGCATGTTTAATACTGGAAAAATCACAGCCCTCCGAAATTTCTCCATGTTTGTTATAAAAGCCCTCTGCACTCAACTAAAATTAAAATGATCTTTAAAGGATAATACTTGTAAAGTTTAAGTCTTTTCAGCCACAGAAACTGCAATGGAAATAAATGTTCAGAGTCATTTTCAAAACAAAAACAAAAATCTATTCTTCTGATGACATGCATGATTAAAAGATCTATGCAAGATACATTGCTCTACATTCCCAATGACTAGGAAAAAAAACCTCAAGTCAATTTTTAGTTTGCAGATGCTCAAAGGATTTTGTATTCCAGCAGGAGTTCAAATCTTCTGGATCTTTTCACCAACAACTACTGGATTTTCTTTTCTGATTTTCTCAGCAGCATCAGCTTTGTAATTGTAAGAGCAATTGTGCACATCTGAGTAACGGTGTACACCACAGTAAACATTTCCACACCGGCATTCAAACCCTGAAAATGGATTAATATACATACGTACATGAGTTGAAAGAAAAGGTCTTTGGCATAATTAATGCTAAAAAGCATGATGTATTTAGGGCAGCTAAACTTGAGAATCATTCTAAATAAATCTCACAAACTATATACCCTTAAAGTTCATGACCCAACAGCTTCATTTCTTGTTTCTAGGTACAATACAGGCTTGTACTATAGTACGTCTTCGGAGCTCAATTACTTTACCTGTGATATGGCCACAATTACTTCCTATCAAAAGCACGGTTGCTAGACTGAAAATGTGAAACATTTTTCAAATCCGAGTACTGCAACGTGAAAATAAGCCTAATGTCAGATGGCCATCTTAACATTTAATTAAGGAAGATCAAATAATACCTCTGAAAGAACCATTAACAACACAGAATTCATATGAGCTTTCTTAGCTTTCTCTGCTAACTCCAACAGAGACGTGAGCTGTCCCTCGGCTGAGAGATGAAGAGCATGGGACAGAGCCAGGGGGCCAACGCATGAAATCTACTTACTACCAGAGGCAGGTGACTTAGCCTCTTTGAGCCTCAGTTTCTGCAGGTGAAATTCTGTAAGTTATTGTAAGAGTTAAATGAGGAATGAACTAAGTGCTTAACATATGGTGAACATGCAATAAATGCTCCTTAACTTTAGGGAAATGCCCAAAGAACCCAAAATAGAGACATACAGGTGGGGACAGTCTTTATATAATACCGGTCCTGTACCCCCAAATCAGAATTTTATTACCATATAACAAAACTGTTGGAAATGGAGCATAGGAATCAGTATTTTAAACAATGACATTTGACGCTAATCTCCTTTACCACATTTTTCACTTTCAAAACGTATTCTCTAACTTCATAATGAAAAGTGAAGCAAGCACTAGATTAGACAGACTGACTGGATGACAGACTGGAAAACAACCTCAGCCTTCACAGTTCGCCAAGTACTTCAAAGCACTCTCTCCTCAAAGGCAGGAGCCGCACTGCTGCCCTCCCACAGCTTCTGGTCCCCCAACCATACTTGACCAACACTCTCCAAATCAGTCGAAATGCATTTTTAAAAGAAAAGCTATGCATTACTTTAAAATTTAATCTTAATTTTAAACTATTTGATTTAGGCCCTTACCAGTAAGTCCCACTTTCTTCCTGCACATGAAACAGCGATTCTTTTTCTGTTTTGGCTTTTCCAGAGACTTGCTTTGCTCTTCAGAGAGCTGCTGTGCTGTATCTGATACTGAAGCTGACAAAAATAGGAAGGTGGTAAAATTTAATTATTCAGTAAGACTTTGCTATTTGGGTAGCTGTCCCTCATCCCACCCCTATGGATCTGTTAGAGGATAACAGGAATTTATTTAGTCATTGGGTCTGAAAGCTATTCGTATTAAATTACAAAGTTGTTTATAAAATATGACTCTCAGTGTTAAACGTATATATGCACACACGCAGAAAATAACCTAGAATATATAAACTGTATTTTCTAGTTTTTTCAATAATTATGTATTTGACTACTAAAAGGTACATACATAAATATTCCCTGAGTATTCTAAAGGAGTATGCAAGAAAATAGCCATATGTAAACTTCCTAATATAGTCTGGGACCAGAACTATGTAGATTTCTCAAAGAAGGGGGGGCAAAACCAAGATTCTGTGGACTATTAAGTATGTTTAAAGTTTCCAGAAGGGTGGGACACTGCCAAGGGAGGAGGGCACATACCATCACTAGGCGTACCTGATCCTAAACCAGGGGAAGTGAGGACCAGTGGGAGGCCCAAACTTCACCTGTACGTAGACCACTTATGTACCTAATCCTGACTTGTACCCCACATCTTTAAAATAAAATAAAGAGGAAAACAAAAATAAAGTTTCCAAAATGTTTTGTGTAAAAGCATTTGAAGTCTTAGGAATAAGATAAATTGATGCAAAGAAGCTTTAAAATGTTAGAATTAAGATGCTAAATTGATGCACTTATGTACTGAATCCAAAGCCAGATGTATCATTTCAGGTCAAATTATCACTCCTCAATCCTAACTCATGTGCCCCCCCATTACTAACCAAGCTGGTCCCCCTGAATGCTGCCACCAGAAGCAGTCTATAATATGACCTTGCAGACATGACATCTTGCTCTGTGACAGTGAGTGACTTGCCATGCGTCAAATTCTTACCTCTTCAATGTTGTCACCAACCAGTCCTTACCCAGGAATCCCCCACTCTCCCAGTCTATACTGAGAACATGCTATGCACTTTTGCTCACAGCTCTTACAACGTATGTCAAAGGGCTTCCCCTTGTCCTTGTTCAATCTAGGGCTTTTTTAAAGGCCAAGATTAAATACCGCTTCTTCATTTCAGTTCTCTGCAGTGCCTTGATTACCCTAACACCCCCACCAGATCCTAGGTGCCTCAGTAAGCCCCCTCTTCAATCTATGCTTCCCACACTGCACCCACTCATCTGCCCTGGGTGGATATCAAATGATGTCCCCCTCATGTTTAAAATTCTTTCATGGCTCCCCACTAGCCCCAGGATAAAGCCCTGAGGTGTTTTATGATTTCTTCATTCTCTTTGTTCCAGCCTTCTCTCAATAGTCCTCCATGCTTCAGCCATACTGAAGCACTTGCAGATTCCCTGAACATACCAAACTCCCTTACCTTTGGGGCTCCTGTACAAGTTGTCCTTTCTATGTGGAATACTCTTTCCACGCCCCTCTTGTCCCTCTCTTTACATGGCCAATTCTAATTTTTCTTTCCTTTTTCAGCTTACATAGTCAGCTCTTCCTCCACAACATCCCAACACAACTCTGGGATGGGAAACCCTGCTATACCTACCCCACAGCACTTTTCATAATATTATAATTGCCTGTTTAACTGAGTTCTTTGAGAGCAGGACCCTGTCCTATTTATCCCTGTTACCAGTGCCTATCCCAGTGCCTCCTACCACATAGCAGGAGCTCAATAAACAAACATCCGTTGGAGAGACTTACTGAGTTACTTACCTACTATATTTATGTGCTATGTTCCCATAACTACACTGTAAGCCTTCTGGACAGAGGGCTGGTACACTCTTCCCTGTTGCAACCTCCAGCACCTCTCAAGGTGAACTACATGTCACAGTACATGCTGAAACATTTGCTATAATGAATTCTAACCTGCTTATATTAACACATTATCTCATATTTTAACAAAAGATGACAAAAGGCAAAACACTACAAACTAACAAGCAAATATGCACCAGTGAAGAATTATGCCTGGCTACCCCACCTGGACATGCTGGAGCTAGACAAGGACAGTTCTAGTAATAGATTGCAAACATTTTTATTTTTGAAGAAGAATCTCATAAAAATCTTTTATTTTCAATAAATAAATATCACTAGAATGTGAGCTCCAAAGAGGGCAGGGGCTGAATGACTTGTTTAGTATTTTATATCCCCAGCCCCTGGAACACACTGAGTAAAGTTCAGCCCTGTGTACAGAGCTCAAAAATATTTTAATTTGCAATCAGAAATGAACCTATTATACCAGGGGTACCAAAAAAATGTACACACATTTTAAGAGAGGTTATCTATATATTACTTTTAGTTCGCCGTGATCAGAAGTGTCTAGACACAGATGGTTAACTACTCTGAGCAACTCTTGTAATTGTAGAAGTCAAACATGACTTGTAGTCATCTACAATTTTAATATAGTTTTTCCTTTCTTAAAATGTGTATACATTTTTTTGGCATCCTCTGTTATTTAATGTCTTTGAAACCTATAAGACATATATCTAATCTGCTCTCCAAAAACAGTCTAAATTAGCCTAAAAGCTAATACAGGTAATGCTTTAATGGTAGCAACACTATCACAATATTTTATTTTATTTATTTATTTTTTGAGTTGGAGTCTCACTCTGTCGCCCAGACTGGAGTGTAGTGGCCGCCCCCGGCCACCGCAGCCTCGCCTGCTGGGCTCTGGCGATCCTTCCGCCTCAGCCTTCCAAGTAGCTGGAATTACAGGCATGCGCTACCACGCCCGGCTGATTTTTTGATTTATTGTAGAGATGAGGTCTCGCCGCCCAGGCAGGTCTTGACCCCGTGGGCTCAGACAATCCACTCACCTCAGCCTCCCAAAGGCGTGGGATTACAGGCTGAGCCACCAAGCCCGGCTACAATATTTTATTTTTTAATGAAACTGGTTTAACTACTGAGACACAAACTGTGAATGAGATTTGGAAACAGAGAAGAGTGAAAATACATTGATCTGCTATGCATACAAGACATTTTACAGTATTAACCTTAAAGACCTGCCTAAAGCGAATGGTTTCTTTTTAACAGAGGCAAATGCACAATCTTTAAAGTTAAGGTCTGTAAGCTATCTAAAAGCTTATAAGCTATCACTCAAATCTCTTACCAATACATGTCAATTACATATCCATGAGACTAAGGCAATCTCAGCTTATCTAAAACTAGTGGCTGATAGCTTGAATCTAGATACTCGCCAAATGAATTCATAGGCAAGATAATATAGTACTTTGTAAAAGTCTATGGTTCCCAGAAATTATCCTGTTTCCTCACAATTTTTATGTGAGATATAAGACCAAAGAATGGCTTATCAAATTCTAGCTATGTAAAAGGAAATAATTCAGTCTTTTAAAGGGCTGTATAGTGGCCTAAAGGCCAGAAGGCCATAATCTTATTGAACCTAAACCCAAAATAGGATCAGTTTCTTCAGAACTAGGTATTCTGAAATGAGAAGTAGAAACAGACTGCCTGCTTATTAATGATTAAGAATAGGTGAATGCCTATGTTGTATCCACCAGTCCTAGAGGTTTATTTAGGAGTCCTACATAGGCTGTGAAATGAGCTATACAGCACTTGCTAACTAATTTTCGAATGGAAATCCCAACTAGACAATGTATAATGGCCACTACTGTTAAGAGATAACAAAAAGTATGTGGCAGGTAAAATTAGTTTTTGCTACCCACATGGAGGATCACATTTAAGAGGAGCAAGGCCCTCTGCTCTGGGTCCTGTAAATGAAAAGGAAAAAAAAGAAAAAGCGCAGAAATATAACAATGAGTACATAAACCTATTTAGCACTGCCTCTCTTTGGAAGACATTCATACACATAGTGAAAAATAAGATGACATTAATAGGCAGTTCCCAAATATTATCTTAAGTAAATTGGGCTTGGCAGCAGATAACTATGTAATATAATACATATCCTTTTCTTAAATATCATAAGTTATCTCATTCAGGAGTTAGACTAATCACTTTGAGGTTGGTGACTATTTCTGCTCACAGGGATCAGTAGGTATTTACTTTTACAATGAGCTGTTGGGATAAAATTCATTTCCCTCTCTGGGCCTCATTTTCTTAAATCAAAATGAAGGCTTGAACCAAATGAACTTTAAGCTCCCCTAGCTCGAAAATTTTAAATATTCAAGAGAAAAACAGGCCTGTATTAGCAGTAGATCCAAGAGAAATATGAGTCATATATTTAACTGTATGTTTTTCAGTAGCTACATTAAAAATTAAAAACAGGTAAAATTAATATACTATTTCAAAATGTAATCAGGATAAAAAGTATTAACTGAGCTTTTTACATTCTGGGTATTAAGTCTCTAAAACCTAGTGTACATGTTACACTTACAGGTAACTAATATGTAAATATGTACTGAAAAGCTCGATTTGGAGTAGCTGCATTTCAAGAACGCCACCACAGTGGACTAAGCAGCTCTACTGGTATGATCAGTTTGTTCACAGTATCTGGGGGCAAAAAACTGTTGCATTCATCTTCATAAAATACACATTTGTGTCATCTTAAAAAAAACAAACCAAACCAAAAAATGCTTCAAAATGACTTTCTTCCCTTCCCACTGATTCCCAAATACCTTAGTGACTTTCCATTTTCTGGCTGCCTACAACCTTTCTAGCTTTAGTACCAACATGTACTTGCCGGCCACTGCAACTAGTCTTCTCGCTGTTTCCCAAACTGCATGCTTTCCTACCTGTGTGCTTTTACCCTCACAATTTCTCCCCCAGCAAAAACCCTTTTCACTGTGTTGGAGTGGGAGAGATGGGGAGATATAATTCACACAGCATAACATTCACCCTTTAAAGTATACAATTCAGTGGTTTTTACTATAGTCACAAGGTTGTGAAAACATCACCACTGATTCTAGAACATTTTAGCAACTTCAAAGCACAACCCTGTACCCATTAGCAATTACTCCCCACTTTCCCCAGCTCCTGGCAGGGACTAATCTTT